CAAAAGTTCAAACCAACAACCCCAAACACTTTGAAATTTAATGACATTCTACCAAATAACTCGTGGGTCAACAAGAAAACCACAGTTGCAAGTACAGATCATTTGGGACACAGAACAATAAGAACACTGTGTGCTGATGCTCATGGGATAGTGCCAGAGATAAATTCATAGCTAGAGACCTTATAATATTAGCAAAAAAGAGGGAAAATAAATGAACTAAAGATTCAAGCCAAGAAATTAGAAAACAACAAACAAAAGAAAATGAAGACTCAGGAATTTACAAATCCAAAAGCATAAAATAATGATTTGAAGAGGAAAACTGCAGGATCAATATGTATAAACAGTAGTAGTTCTTTAGTGAAAAATAATGATATGAATAAATTGATAATCCAGAGGACATTGACACAGATAATAAAAACAAGACAAGGGACTGGTGGAGTGGCTCAAGTGGTAGAGTGCTTGCCTAGCAAGCATGAAGCCCTGAATTCAAACCCCAGTACTGCCAAAAACAAAACAAAACAAGACAAGGGATATCTTTTCATAGAGAGTTCCATGTAACATGTTTTAATTTTAAGCAAATAAAGTTTCAAACATCCAATAGATTTTTTAAAAAGAAAAATAGGAATTACTAATTGAATTTAGAATTAGAAATCTTGAATAAATCAATATGTAGGATCGTGTTGGCAAGTATGGGAAGACAGCATGCATATTGGTTAAGAATTTGTTAAGGATTTGAGCTCTAGTGCCAGCTTGCCAGGATTGGCAACTCGGCTTTCCTTGCTGACTACAGAATATTGGACAAAATATTCAACCACTCCAAAACTCAGTCTCCTTATTTCTAAATTGGTAATGACAGCAATATTTACTTTCTGAAGGTGCTATTGGATAGTTAGCAAAATATCATAAGCCAAGCCTCTAGACTGTTCTAACAGAAGGAGCCCTGGAAAGACACTTGGAAAGGTGTTTTTATTATTGTTTTCCTCAGACCTCCAAGGGACAGATGTTTCATATACTATGTTAATAATTTCAAAGCATAGAAAAAGATTCAATGTTACTCACTTGGCTTTAAAAATCATTATCTTAATACAAAAACTTGACAGTGATAACATAAAAATACAGAATATATATGTGTATATATACACATAAATATGAGAAAATGAAATTCAGACTTGTAATGAAATAATGAGACAACAGAATCAAATAGGATATGCCCCAAGAATAGATGAATGTTCCAATATGATAAGAGCTAGCACCAACTTTGTCACATTTTTGGGCAATTGATAACGCGTTGACCTAGAAATACTTTTAGTTACTAGCCTAAGGAAATAAGACATGGCCAGAGATTTGTGTTCAAGGTTGTTTGGTGTAACAATATTAAACATTTATACAATGCAAATACTAAAACACAGAGGAATACTTAAATATACTTAAATATATTGTTCTTAAGCAAATATGTTGCATTTAAATGATACATAGATAATAAAGACCAGGCTATTCTATAGAAAGACTATTGTGAAACCATAGAAAATGTTTCAAAGAATATGTCAAAGCATGAAAACATACTCAGGATATATTGTTCATTAAGTATAAAAATGATTTAAGTAACATATGCAGCATGCTTGTAATGGGGAAACTGTATCTTTTTGTCTCTGTGTGTATATGTGTATGTGTATATGTTTGTGTATGTACAAGGATGTATGTTTCCTTGCCTTTGCTAATGTAAAAATGTTGCAGTGAATAGCCTCATACATTTATCATTTTGCACAAGTGAAGATCAAATCACCATCATGCTTTAATCCACTTTAAGAATTGTAATTTGTGTGGAAAATGACACACATGCAAATAATTTTGTGATAATGATTAAGTGTATGTGTGTGTGTGTGTGTGTGTGTGTGTGTGTGTAAGCCCTCAGGTATTTATGGAGGAAGGGAGAAAAAAATTGAAACAAAATGTCACAATGGTTATTTTAGGGCAATTTTAATTTTCATCTTTCTACTTAATTTAAAATATCTCTTCTTAATGCCAATGTAGGGGAGGAAAGCCCACTGTTAGAAAAGTGCTTTCAGTGAGATTCATGAAAAAGAAAAAAAAATCTCTGCACTAATATGCAAAATACCAAATTCAAGACATTTATACTGTTTTGACATCATCTTAAAAGTGAAATAAAGATCATAGTTAAGGTATTTAGAGAATTGTATTCAATATCTAGAAAATGATAGGACACTAATGTATATTTAATCTACTCCCTACTTAAATGAAGATCACTGCCATGATTAGCTGAGAAAAATGCATGTGAAAAAAGTGTTAAGTGAAATATGTCAGACACAGAAGACAAGCAACACTGCATGGTCTCTCTCATATTAGAAGCTAAAAAAAAGTTGATCTGAATGTAGAATAGTGATTGCCAGAGGCAGAGAACGATGGGAGAACAGTGGGGCCCTATCTACTGGATTTCAAGTACCAAAACAGCCAGGCAAGAAGAATAAGTTCTACTGTTCCCCACACTGGTAGGGTGTTATAGATAGTTCACAATAACCTGCTATGTACTTTATAAATAACTAGAAGAGTGGAGCATGAAGCTTCCAAACATAAAGCAATGACAGGAGATGGAAATGTTAATTACCCTGATGTGGTCAGTATACATTGTTTTCATGTTTTGAAATATCACACTGGATCTGATATATATATATGTACAATTATTATGTGTTAATCCAATCACTTAATTTTTGGGAGATAGAAATGCTGACTACCCTGATTTGATCACTACACATTGCATATGCATTGCAGTGACTTATCACACTGTACTCCCCAAATAAGTACAATTAAAATATAAAAGCAACTTAAAAAGAACAAATGGCTGTGCAACCGCTTAGCATAGGACATGAAGCACAACTGGTTATAGGAAATGATTTTCTGGATCCAAATTATCCATAATCCTTTCCTGGTGTCACTCAAACTCTCAGATGGAAGACAAGAAGTGTTTGTCATTAACTAGCACTCTCCAACCTTCAACCTGGGTGCTCCTATTTCTTGATGCTACCATATTGCTTAAAAACAAGCAAACAAACCAAATAAAAACAGAGTGAGACAGAAAGAAAGAAAGGATGAAAGGAAGGAAAGGGACAGAGGGAAGGAAGGAATATGTAAGGAAAGATGGAAGAAGGGAAGAGAGGGAGGGAGGGAGAAAGAAAGGAAAACAATGACTCTGAATTTTTTCTTGCCTCTGGAAGACAAACAGGAAAAAAATTCTATCCTTTTCTCCCTCCCTGGATTTTCTCTTCATGCTTAAATCTAGGTCTAGTATAGAATTGATTCAACCTTTGGCAAATAGTTCTTCCTGGGCTATAACTTTATCTGTCTTAGGAAGGACCAGTGTCTTCCTAATAGGTGAGGAATCCTGGCCTATGGTCCAAGTCCACATCTCCACTGGATGTGTGCTTGACTATTTCAAGTCCAGTCTTGCTGGACATGGTGGTTCATACCTAATAATCCTAGCACTCAAGAGGCTGAGGCAGGAAGATGGGTAGTTCTAAGACCAGCCTGGGGCTACATAGCAAGATTTTTGTCTCAAAATAATTTTTAAAACTGGAGTCCAATCTTAACAAAGTAATGATGAAGGGAATTTATTGGCTTAGCAAATGTTGTCTGGAAAGAGGAAACAGGATGGTTGGTTTGAGGAATGGCCAGAGATTAGAGCGAAGAGGATGCTTGCCAAAAACACATACTATGGCCTAGAGTCAGGAAATGACTATAAGAAGAAGACTTTGAGGTTCAATGGTTACTGAGGACAAACAGAGAGACATTGTCAAGATGACTGAAATTTCACATTCCAAGTCCAAGGAACATTAGTGCTAGGGACAGAAGCTTGAGCATTGTAGAATAAGATGATGAACTTGTTTTGAGACTTAGTAGTTTGGGGTAAGGACAGAAATTTCAAGGGGGTATCCATAAGTGGTTTATATTTTAACCATACAGATCAGATTGACCTTAGGCTAATGCTGTAGATTTAGGGACAATTGATTTGGGCAAAAGGGTAGAAGCCATGGACTAGAGATGAAGTCTTCACAAAGACACCTGAGTTTAATGGAGCCCCCAAAGTTAGACAAGAGAAGAGAAAAGGGATATAGAAAAGGAGCTACAGAATGAGTTGTCAGAGAGCATAAGGCCAAGGGTAGGAAAAATAGTTTCAATAATATGTACAGAAATGGAGACAAATATCCTAGCCCTGCAAAGATATCAGAGCTATAATCCATAATTTAGGTAAAATAAGTGTCTTTTCTTCCACTTGCTTTGGTTGAAATTAGATACATGCATCAATGAAAGGTGAGAATACAATGTCGAGTTGAAGCAACAATAGAGTGTCAGAGTATACTTTATAGACAAACCAAATCTTCATTCAAAACATTTCAGAAGCTCTTGAAATGCCCTAAATCCTGAACTTTGGCAACTATGCCACTATTAATTTGGGGGACCATTTAGTCTAAGTTGACTTCTGCACAATTAATAAAGGAAATGCTTTTGAACAATTGGGCTGTGTTATTTTGCCTAGAACCCAGGACTGATCTTAGGAAGTGGATAGTTCATGTCAGATTGCCACATTTCAAGATGAACCTAGATACCAGTATATAAAGGCCATAGGTCAGAGCACCCTCTTCCTGGTTAAACAAACCCTAACACTCACCCAACAAAAAAGAACCTACTTCCCAATTTACCACCCCACTTTTGTGTAAACTCCCCTCTCCTTCTCAGTCCCTGTAAGTCAGCCAGATTGAGAGATGGGGGTGGAAGTCATCATGGTGACAGAGGAAGCCCAAAGTGGGAGAGAGACAAAAATAGTGGGGCAAGTTTCTTTTAGCCAAATATACTGCCTCCTACCTTTCTTAGACGGGCTTCCTTTGAATCAGAGAAACACATTAGAGGTAAAGAGAACCACTGTTGTGCTGGAGAGATGGTGGAATGCCTGAACTCTTCTTTAAAATTTTCTTTTCTATGACTTTCAGGTGATCATCAGTATAATCATCCGATTTTAAGCAGTGCTACCCAGACCCCTACACACGGTGAGAGCTGATTGAGAGCACTATGCACTCCATCTTCATTCCAAGTGACTCCATGCTAACTTCCAATGCTTCTCAGAGCATTGGAAAAATGGTCATTGACTCATTGAACCTAAGGAGGTTTAAGGAGCCATGTGCCTACCCTACTCCAGGGCCACAAAAATCTTCATTTTCCCTTTGAGACCATTGTCGCCTTGGTGTTTCTACCTCTGTCATCAGAGTGATTTTCTGCCATGAAAGGAAAGAAGCTCAACTTTTAACTCATTTGTATTTGCAATCTATATCACTTCTTGCAGTCATAAATGTCATATGTCCATGGCAAGGAGATTAATGCTCTCTTTAGCCCAAAGCTATGTGTGGTACCATTTACAAATGACATGAGAGTTGGTTAAACTACTTTGATCCTCCCAAAACTAATGAAGATTTGCTGAAACTCAAAACTTATTTGGGCTTTAGTCTCTTGTTAGAAAAAGAAGCTGTAAGTTGTATAGCAATACAGTGCCAAAGGGCTGCAAAACCACACTTTCCTCTTAGGTCATATATTGCCCTCTCATCAGATCACAACTTAACATTTGGAACCATGTAGAAAAATTATTTGCAATACCTGCTCAAAACTCAATAGAACATAAGGCAGCCACGTAAAATGTGAGCTACCAGTCATTCTTGTCTCTTTGCTATGAAAGAGTACATTCACTCTTCAAATTATCATGAGAGAAAATCTTAAAGATAAACTGGACAGCCCATGTGGAAGATATACCATGCTGTGCTTCAGCATTGAGGTTGAGGGGCATTTTAATTAGAAGGAGGAGAGTGGAACAGTTTGAGATGCCCCTCTGTGCTATGCACCTAGTGGAAATATGTGATGAAAGTAGCAGGATAGTCAGATGTTTCAGGCTGTAGGGTGTAAGAAAAATGAGAACTGGGAGAACCTGGGGAGAGGTTGATGTCCATGGTAATGACAGTAGGAACAGAAAGGTGGATTGAGCTATAGAACATTTTGAAGAAAGAATTAGGAAAGCTTTGTCACTCAGTGATTGTGGTCAATGAGAGCCAATGATGAGTAATATAGTAAGCTAAGCTTGGTTAGAAGGTTGGGGTTGGGTTATTAACACCATGTAAGGAATAAGGTGAATAACAGTATACAGGGGATGGGGTTGTCAATGGGTGAGTTTGGATCTGGACATCTAGAATTTGGTGGATATAGGAAATGCAAGCAAAACCATTCAGCAGACAGTTAGGAATTGAGTCTAGAAATAGGTTAGAACTGAAGATGCACAATGAGCTTTGGAGGCAGTAACAGAAGCCTGGAAGGGGACAGTCTATGAAAGAATCTTGAAAGAGGAAAGTAGGAGGAAAAGACAGGGAACCTGGTTTGGTGGGGTGATGCTTATGGAGATGAAGTAGTGGGAAGAGGAGCAGAAAAAGACAAGCAAGGAGAGCTCCTGACTGCTCAGTAACACTCGGGAATAAAACAACCCCTGAGCTGAGTTTCCTCAGAAGGAGCCAACACAAGCACAGACCCCTGAACTCAAAAGGAAGGACTGTGCCCCTCTTTCTTTTCCTGTCTTCTCTCTTCCAGCTTGTGTAAAGAGATGAGGGAGATAGGATCCTCAGCCTGGCCTTGAGGAGCTCACAGTGCAGTGTGGGCAGAGTTTTCTCTGCATTGGTTTTCTGAATGTTACCCTTACCCTTACCCTTACCGTGGGAATTGACGGAACAACTATTAAGAAAGGAGGAAGTCTGTGTCCACTTGATTGACCAAAGAGCATTCACTGGATCCTTATTTTGGAGCTTGCAATAGGAAAGAATCAGGAAACTTGGAAACTAAGAGCTGTGATGTCAAGGAGATTGCAATCCTTAGAGGTCAATAAGACCAATTCAAGTCAAATTATTAGTGATCGATGTAGAACTGACTAGAAGAGGAATGTGAGCTGGAAGGCTGAAAAGATGTAACAGGGTCACAACCCAGAGACTTGAATAAAGAGAGAATTTGATAGAGGAAGGATAAAGAAGGATATTTCAATAGGAGAGGGAACATGAGCAAAGGGTTAGGGCAATCATGGTGGGGACAGAAGACACAGTAGAGCTAGCCTTGGCTCAGTAGCATGTTTCAGAAACAGTGGTGGGGTAATAGTGTCCAGGAATATGGCATTTGGAAGGGGGTAAGCTGAATGATGCCCTTTTTGGGAGCAAGATGCCCAAGGACAAAGGGAAGTCTGTTTTTCTCCAACATGGCCAGAAGTAAAGAAATAAGAGCTAAGGAATTAGTGGCTATTAACCAAGTCTAGGGAATAGCATTCCCAGCTTCCTGCCCACTTCACTTCCTGACATCTGTCCTATCCATGCCAGGGAGGCTCTTTCTGTACAGCATGTTCTGATCTCTCAGGGATGCAGAGCATCCTCAACTCCCTCACATATGTACTGAGCTGGCATGAACACAGCTGATTGGCTGAGATCCCCTGGCCCAATGCCTAGTGCTGAGGGTGACAATGCAGGCAAGCAGGGATAGAGAAGACAGGAGTTTCCTGTGCTTGTGGCAGCCCTTGGATTAGACCTGAGTGGGCTTCTCTCTGTCCTGCAGTCCACAGAATCCTTGCATTCTAGGATTCAGCACCCGCCAAGAAGTGTGGGAAACCACAGTTCTCCTGCATATCTGTCCCAAATTAGAGTCTTCCACTTCTCAGGACTTCTCTGGCCTTAAGCTGTCTCAACCAAAGAGGGATTGTGTAGCCAGAGTGCAACTTTCCAACAGTCACACTTCAAGAAGTGGTACCACTATCTCCTTGGCAACTGCCTGTTGACTTCTTTCTGTGGCTCCTCCTCCTCATGTCAGTCAAGCACCAAAGCATGCTTACCTTCCTTCCCTGGACCTCTCTTTCTCATGGACCTCCATGCTCACTGTTGCATCCTCACCCAGCCACATACTCCCTCTCCTCTCTCCTGTGTTAGTCCTAATTTGGCCCAGAGCCAAGCTCACCCTGCATGTGCCTCCATTAGTCATCTACTTCCTTTCCCTTTCACCTTGTTCTCTCTTTTCCCAGGTCTAATACTGAACCACACTCCACTGTCCCTCTGCTGAGTTTGTAATCTCAAGGCTCTATTTCAGGGGAAGAAGACCCCATTCTTCTACCATTGCTGCAGCTCCTCCAAAGTCAGAGTTGCTGAGCCTGAAAGCTAGGTTTTCCTACAGCCATTAGGAAAGGGGCAACACTTTCACACAGAAGTAGATGGCTTTATGGCATTCTTCAGGTGCATCAGGCTTACATTTTTTATCAGACAACTCAGTGGCACATGTGAGAAAGAATCTGCAGCTGAGTCTGCCATTCAAAGACCAGTCAACTGCCATGAGGACCGGTGGCAGCCAAAACAGCACCAGCTCTCAAGTTCCAGTTGACACCTGGGACTGAGCATGAAAGAAAATCACAGCACCCTCTGTGTCCTAGCAAAGAGGGTGAGGAAGGCAGAATGGGACTGTATTCAGGGATGAGGCAGAAAGTGGAGAGAGAGAACCTGGACCTTCTCTTCTTGCCTGCCTCAGGCTTTGTCTTCACTAATGCAAGGTACCCCTCCCTTTTATTGCAGAAAAGCCACGGATGAACAACATCCTGACATCGGCCACCGAGCCCTATGACCTCTCCTTCTCCCGCTCTTTCCAGAACTTGGCCCACTTGCCCCCATCATATGAGTCTGCAGTGAAGACCAACCCAAGCAAGTATTCATCTCTGAAGAGACTAAGTAAGTCAAGGTCCCCTGGGGTCAAGGTTGAGGTCTCTGGGGTCTCCAGGGAAACCTCCTCTACCTCATTCTCTTGTCCAGGAGGCTAGTGTGGATCCCAAGAACAACGAGAAAGTTGTACATAGAAGAAGAGAATAGACAAGCCCTTTTCTTTTATTCTTTAGAACTTGAATTCATTCTTCCCATAGAAAGAAGAGAGGCCACAGGATCTTCAGCTCCACACTCCCATATGAGGCAGCTCTTCAACTCATGCTCCAGTTCAATTGCAAGAGAGAGCCTTTCCCAGTCCCACACACCACCTGCCTTCTTCAAACCACAGGCCTTCCTTGCTATATTGCACTACCCTGGAACTGAGGCTAGCGAGGGCAAGAGCTTTCTCTGAGATCCCTCCCAGAAACCCACAAATCAGCTCCCTTTCCAATGCCACCAATATCACCTCATGCACATACCCGAATACCCGAATTCATCTATTAAGTCCAGTGTTCCCCCAGGATTCCCACTCTGCTATTTGAAACCTGGGAGGCTGTGGGCATTGATGTGTTCAAGACACTAAAATATCAAGAAAGTACATCAAGGGACAGCTCTTTGCTTTGGCTTTCTGACCCTCCCTGTTTTCCCTATGGGTCTCTTTTGATGACCATCCACCTGCAGTTGGATCCCTGGGTCTGAGCATTTGCTTAAAGCTGCAGGGTAACCTACAGGTCCAGCCCAAGTTCAGATGCCCTAGGATGAGGGAATGGGACTCAGTAGGCAGACTATACCTACCAGTGACTACCACTCCCTTGGCCAATTGAGGAGCAGGCAGCATTTCCACACTTGGCAGAGACCTTGAAGGCTGCCTGTAGGAGACCTTGTTGCTGAAATTTGGGGGCAATGCAAGTTTGTGTGTGCGTGTCTTGAGGGCAGACAGTGTGAGCTGTGGAGGGCCTACTGATGGAGAGGAGGGAAGAACATCTGAATGAGGTGCCCTTATAGGATCATTTCAGCCTGCAGTGTATGGGCACAGGCAGAGAATGTGTAGGCTGATGACATGATTGTGTGGGAGCTGGATGCCCATGTGCTGGTTTCCTGTGCATTGGCTGTTACTCCAAAGAAAGTGTTACTATGTTCCTAAGTTATCAGCTAAGCATTTTCACAAGTGCCTCCTAGCTGTACATCTTTATTCTAGCACAAGGCTGCTTCTGCGACCCAGCTTCCATAAAGAGAGGCTTTAGACTTCATCTGGAAGCTGCCAGCTGCTACTTGGGTAGTTTTGAAAAACAGGTCCAATATATAGATATAGCAGGGAAGCAGGAGGAGCATGGGGTTGGCCTTGCCATTAGCCCTGTCATGAGCTCACTAGGGTACCTGAGGAAGTGCCTTAACCCCTAACTACTCAAGGTAGTCCTTGGACCAGGAGAAGTACCTGAGGGCTTGTGAGAGATGCAGACGCTTGGCACACTCCAGGCCCTCTGAGTCACAATCTGCATTTCACATGCCCCCAGGGATTAGTTTGCACATACAGTGCAGCAGCCCCAAGTCCCTTCTCTGACCCTCAATGTCCTATTCTACAAACTAAAGGGAGGGGTTAACTATGTTATCCTTTGAGGTTTACAGGTCTGTGATTAAGCAAGAGAGCTGCAGGGCCATACCTGAGTCCTAGCTTGGTGTCACCTCATTGCCTTCTCTCTCTGTTCCCTCTGCAGCTGACAAGGAGGCTGATGAGTATTATATGAGGCGCAGGCACTTGCCAGACCTGGCCGCCCGCGGAACTCTGCCCCTCAATGTCATCCAGATGTCACAACAGAAGCCCCGTGAACGACCCCGCCGGCCCATCCGGGCCATGTCCCAGGACAGGGTCCTATCTCCACAAAGGCGCCTGCCAGATGAGTTTAGCATGCCCTATGACCGCATCCTATCCGATGAGCAGCTGCTCTCCACAGAGCGCCTGCACTCCCAGGACCCGCTCCTCTCCCCAGAGCGGACGGCCTTCCCCGAGCAGACGCTGTCGCGGGCCATCTCACACACGGACGTCTTTGTGTCCACACCCGTGCTGGACCGCTACCGCATGACCAAGATGCACTCCCATCCCAGTGCCTCCAATAACTCCTATGCCACCCTAGGCCAGAGCCAGACGGCGGCCAAGCGCCATGCCTTTGCCTCGCGCAGACACAACACAGTGGAGCAGCTGCACTACATCCCGGGTCACCACACCTGCTACACAGCCAGCAAGACCGAAGTGACTGTGTGATCAGCGGGCAAGGCAGGGCTGGGCTGCAGGACAGGGTGGGGCGGGGCAAGGCAGGCGTCAGGAGCAGAGATTCTACCTTTGCTCTTCTCCTTCGCCAGTCCTCTCCATTGGAACTGGGAATGGGCTGACCATGGTCCAGAAAGCCATATACTCGGGGGCAGACCCAGCCCTGATGGCCTGGTCCAACACATTGCAGACCCAGGATCTAGAATAATTGCTGTTTCTCTTTCAATAGAGTCCTTGGGAAGTGGAGAGGGGAGGCCCCTGTCTCTTCCCACCCACTGCCTGCACCAACTCCCTTCAGTCCTCTCCCCTCTCCCCCTCCTGGGGACTCAGTTGCAGGTTCTGTCAGCCAAAAGACCCTCATCTGACCCTGATCTGAAGCTGCCTGGTTTGAACAGCCAGCAGGCCAGTCAGTGGGCTGACCAAATAGACTACTCAGTCTCATTTATTTACCTAGAACCGCATCACAGAAATCTTCTAGTGCCTAAAAACTGCCTGCTCGCTCTCAGCCAGAGAGCTGCTGTGTCCATAAGCACAATAACGATTCTCTTCTGCCTGCTGGAACTCTGGTCCCCAATGAGTGGCCCTTCATTCGCTGACCCAGCCTGGCCCTGTGACAGTCCCTTCAGCCCCAGGACAGAGGAGGATTCCCTTCCTTCAGCTGCCTCATACCTTGCTGGGAACCTAACGCATTCCAGCTGGCTACCCTGGCCCCTCTCCTTTGGGGACTTGGCTCCCCTAGCCCTAGCTGTTTCACCCTCAGGCTCTCTGGAGGTTTATTTCTTGCCCTCCAGAGGGGAGTAGCAATGGGGTGCAGGGATTTGAGAGGTGGCCTCTACCCACCTAATTGTTTCCTCCCTTCCTCCAGACCTCTAGGTCTAAACAATGATGGCTACTTATGCCTGCCTTCACCCCTCTACTGCTCCCAGGAGGTGCCTGCATTAGTGGTCAGAGAGAGCCAGGGTAAGGAGAGTCATGCCTGGGATCACAGGAGCTGACATTTCCATTTTCTAGAACTCTGCCTGTCCTCCACCATGTACCTCAGGGAGGATAGAACCAGAGGCTTCTAGACAGCAGGATGCTCAGTCCCAAAACAAGGAGGACCTTCCTGAGGTGGTATGTGTTGGACCCTGACCTCTCCTCTCTCCTTATCTCTACACACTCCACAGGCCTCTTCTCTGTCCAGAATTCACTTTCTCTGTCTTCCATTCTCCAGTGCCCATCTCCCCTCCTCATCTCCTGCAGCTCCATTACTCTCTCCTGGCTGCTCTTGCCTCAGACCAGTAGGTCAAGGGGGCAGAGACACCTTGGCTGATGCAAACAGAAATGGTACTCCAGGTTACTGGTCTGAGGACTAACTGGGCAGCTACCCATTGCGTCCCTCCCTCCCCACGGTGGGCACTCCAGCATCAGACAAATCCATGTCCACCCTCAGCTCTGTGAGGGGGCCCCATTGCCAGCTCATCTCAGCCCCTTTTTTGTCTCTAATCTGGGAGTGGGCAGGGTGTTAAGCTACTGATGAACAGAGCAGCATCCACCCCCCCCCCAAGACCAGGGGTAGATAGATAAGGGAATCCTCCCTTCTCAGGGTCAATGCACATCCCTGGGGTGGGGCTGGAGGCAATTGGCTTCCATGGTCTGGTGACAGTGAGATATTAAACATGGAACTGTCACCGGTCAGACTCCAGTAACCATGCCCTTAAACAGGATTTTACATTCCCTCTGAGTGAGTGGACCTTAAACAGGTGGAGTGGAAAGAACTCTTCAGTCTGTGCCCTGGAAATTTTTAATCCAACCAAATCCACAAACACAGAGAAATCAATGGACTGCTTCTTCTTACAAATTTCAGGAACTCCAAAGCTGTCTTCTCCTCCCCTCCCTGGGCTCACTTCCCAGTGTGAGCAGGAATCCATGGTATGAATCATGAGGGATGGAGGCTGGGGGTTATCCCTCATCTTCCCCACTGCAGTACTGTCCCTGGGGCCATGGGACTGGGAGGCCAGAGTTGACTCTTTCTGCTTTCCTCCCCACAAACACATAAACCTTCTTAAGGGCTGGTCCCCACAGGTTTATGAACATTTGTTCCAGAAGGTGAGGCTAAGAAATCTGGAAAAGAGGAAGTCAATATAAATATAGAAGCTGATTACTCCCAGAAGCAAAGATGTGTCTTACAGCTGGGGCCCTAAGCCCAGCACCCTTTAACTCTTTAACCCTTGGCCAGTCCCCTTGAAGGCCACCTGCTAGTGAGAAGGGGGAAAGGTAGGACACGGATGGGTGAGACTCCCCTCCCTGGGTGTCTATACATGCACACACTAAGCCAGAGATCTGATCTCATCCTGTGAAAGGATCTTCTAGACACCAAGTCCTTCACTCCTTCGTGGGATGCTTTTCCCAGGCTCCTTCCTCAGCCCTGTCTCTGACACGGTGTCTGTCTGTCTGTTTGTCTCAGGGGTTGTTTGATAGGTTGATTCTAAAATATTTCTCTTCTCAGCCTTACCATGGTCTGGCTTAAAATCTCTGTGCCAGTTAGATCAGAAAATTCTACTGGAATGCTTACTTCTTTTAAAGGATTTCTTCTGCTTCATCCTTGGGTCTGGAAGGGAGGAGGAGAGGAAAGGAAGAGAAAAAGAAAGATAGGTCTACAAACTTGATCCAATTCAGTCTCCCATTTCAAAATTGAGATAATTAAATCTCAACTGAAACTTGGAGGTACAATAGTTCTCCCTTATTTTCAGTTTTGCTTTACCCCATTTCAGTTATCCATGGCCAACCATGGTCCAAAAATATTAATATTTGTCTTGACTTTCAAAGACAGAATCCACACTCACATAACTTTTATTATAGTATGTTGTTACAATTGTCCTATTCCTGTGCCTAAATTATAAATTAAACTTTATCATAGATATGTATGCATAAGAAAAAACATAGTATATATAGGATTCAATACTATTATTGATTTCCACTGGGGGTCTTGGTGTGTAGCTCCTGGGGATAAAAGGAGGACTAGTGTATCCACCCATTGATTCAGTTGTCCCATCCAGCTCTATGATTAAGCAAAGTCACACTGACAGGTACATTCACATAAGATAGGGTTCTGGGGCTAGAACACAGATATCACAATTTCCAGCCCTAGCCAAGTAGTGTCCTCTGTCACATGTAGAAAGGCCATCCCTCCATTATTATAAAGTGTTCCTGTCCCTAGCAAAGGAACCCTATATCCCAGGATTTCCCTCTGCTATTTATTCTTTCTTATATGTCTCCATCACTTGGCTAGGAATGGACTGGAGTCCATACAGGTTTCATCTGCCCTGAATATTCTTTCTGAAGATCTTAATATTCCTCATGCCCTCTGCCTTTCCTGTCTCAATTCTTCCAGTGAACTCTGGCTCCATGCATTCGTGAATCACAAAGGCTTGCCAAGAATTCCTTAGCCTCCTAACTGGACACTCCCCTCAGAACTCCCTAATGTCTTGGGCAATGTGTCTGCCCTTTGGAAAGTTCCAACCCTTTCACCAATTGAAATTTCTCCCCCTCTTTCAACTCTCATTCTTATCTCAACCTTAAGTCTTTATGCCAGTTTCCACTTTCCTTCCTCTCATCTCTCTCTTCCTCCTTTTATCTTCCTCCATTCCCTAATTTCTTTCCCCTGGCCCCGCTATAATCTCTAGTTTTGAGAATCAGGGTTCTTGATGAAACTATGGAAGAGTCAGACATTTTTTAGGTCCTCTGTTTGCCTCATTGGTTTATCCTCAACTTCCTACACCTGTGAGATGACACCCAAGGGCACAGGCCCAGGGCTCTCTCCCTCTCAGATCTTCAGGAAGAATGGGAGAGAACTGCCAGGTCAGAGGTGTGATGGCCAGAAGATCAGCTGTGATTCCTGCAGCTGCAAGACCTATGGAGCTCCTGACCCAGCCTGCTACTAGCCCAGAGGCGCAGGCTCTGGCCAAAGATTCATCACCTTGGATGATGTCTCAGCCACTGCTCCCATTCACTCCCCCTTCATGCTAATGTGCATCACAGCTTCCCCTTTGTTCCAAAAGATTTGGGGGCCTCATAACTTGCCAAGCATGGAGGAATATTCATCCCAATGTCCCTACCACCAAACACAATCCATCTCCTTCAGAGATACCTTGGTTGCCACCAGCCTCCCATCCTGATTCCTTCCACAGGCAACTGTGAACTCGACCCAAGGTAATAGTTTAGAAGAGCTGCCAATCTCTTGGCCCTGAGAAGGCACCTGCTCTGAGAAACTGGCACATTACCTCCTTCTACATCCCAGTCATCATTTCCAAATCTGGGAAACATTGCTCTGTAGTGTTTTCAAGGAAGCTTGTGTTTTAATGAAGCATTTTTCAAGGTTCAAATGTTATTTTTCATAAATGTGGCATTTTAATGGCAGATGTAATATAAAAGACAAGTCTTCCTGCTTCTATATTTGATTTTGGAAGGCAGCATATTGAGGAGAAAAGAGCACAGGGCTGAGGCTCTGGAGACCTGGCTTCCAGCCGTGGCTTTGTCTCCATCCTGCCATGTGACTAAGGGCGAGTCATTTTCCCACACAGTGCCTCAGTTTCCCCATCTATAAAACAGGGGGCTTTGACTAGATAAGCCCCAAGTTTCATCCAGCTCTCTTACATTTTAGGGCTTTCATTCCTCATTGTTACCCCATCCTTTCTCCACATTCCTCCAGCTAAGCAGCACCCCTTCCACTATGCTTGCCCCACTCCCACTATGCTTGACCCACAGTGACATACTCAGATGTCCTCGATAGCTACCAGACTCCTCACCAGAGCTGGGATGGGCCATGTGGACTTGGCCACCCATGGATGCTCTCAAATCTGAAAGTTAAGAGCCTGACTATTCAACAGGTCACCAACCGTGTGTCATGGAAGCCTCTCAGACACACCTAAAACCACTTGAGTGTCTGTGTTGCTAGGAAATTCTGAGTTTGGAATTTTCATTTTTGATGTGGTCCTTATAGCTGGAGGGAGGCGGTTCACTTTCAGGAGGGGATGGACTGGAAGAGAAAGGTTCATACGTCTGCCCATGCCATCTGGGCATGGAATTTGAGGACAGCTGGAAAGCACATTCCAAGGCTCCAGAGGAGCACGCTTGGCAAAGGCTCTGTGTAGCAAAGGATGTTATTACATCTACCTTGGGAACATGCATCTTGAAGACTGTGTCTGGACACTGAGGCTCCACTCCAGCTGAAGAGGATGAAGCACCGTCACCTGGGCTGCTGGGAATGGGCACTGACTCAATTCCAGTGTTTTTCTAGCCACTCTTCATGAAACTACTGTCCTCCCCGTGAAGGCTTGTGAAGCAAGAATGGAGATTCTAAGACAGTATCATCAAACAAGTCTTGTAAATTGGCAAACACATTAAACTTCCATCATTCAGAAAAACGATGCTGTGTGTTACCTTAATATCCTCCTGCTGAGGGAGGAGACCCTGCTCAACTTTGCTGCCCACCCTTCAGTGACCCTCGAATGTCACTCCATGGGAGGACCCATTCATTCGCTTCATAGTGGCAAATACTCCTCTAGTTCTATAATTCAA